TTTTTCCAACAAGGGATCCGCCCGCGGAGTCAGTGGTGACATATCAATTGGAGATGATGAGATGGCTGTGGGCGTTGAGACGCTTTCTTCGTCCCTAATCAGCCGAATTTGGTTCGGGATTGATAATGTAGGAACCGCGCCTGGACTGCCGTCCTCTGCTATCGATTTCTTTGCTTCTTCGCTATCTCTGAGCACGTCGACCTGAGTATTGAAATACTCTTCTAGGCAATCTTCTAGCTTAATGCCGTTTCCATCAGTATCTGACGGCACTGCTAGGTTTAGTAGCCTCTCGTAGACAACTTTGTGGTCATCGTCGTCATGTCTCCCTTGGTGGAAGAGATCAACTTGTAGCGAAAGGAGAGGTAATTCTAGCTTTTCCGTAAGAAAAGCAAAGGCTTCTGAGGTATCCTGTTGCTCCAAGAGACGAGCGTCCAGCCAGCCGCATTCAGCCATGGTGTCTTGTATTAATTTAGTCTACGCAAGTTAGTAACTTGACCGAGTTCTCGAGATGTTTGGTTGCTCACCAAGTCTGTGCGGATGAGTCTGCCTGTTCGTAGCATGTTGACCCATATACGTAGCAGCGTAACTAGCCTATTCCTGGGATCATCTGCCGGGAATTGGTTCTTGAGCATGCATTCGAAAGCGTCGAGCTTAGAGAACATAGCGAAGAGTAGAGCATCTATGTAACAGGTGACAGCGCTGCGGTTCTCGGCACCAACCATATGGACGCTGGGGTCATAGGGTAGAATAACACCAGAAGTAGATTTTTGCTCGAGATCGATGAATTCTGTAGTACGCTGGGGATCGCCATTTGCATATTTGGTGACCAAGATGTCTTGGATGTGCTCGACGGTGATATTGGTAATGTTGAGTGCGTCTAAGCGTCGCTGGATATCCTCAATCTACTCATTGGTTAACATTTGTTTGATGAGAAATTGGGACTGCCATAAAGCAGCGCACCTTGGCGGCTTCTTTAGCGGCTTCCGCTTCATTTTGGTTGGCCTGTCTTGAATGGTCAGGCTTGAATAAAGACCGAAACGTGTCAGTTGTGAGAGGACGTGCCTGCCAGCGAGAAAGGATACTGGTCAGCCATGACCGTTTCTCTCTGGGGGGTTTGGGTACGGGCGCCATGACGGCCCATTTTCAATGACAAGTATGGGGAATTGAGATGCTGGAGGAGTAGTGGTTTACCTTGTTTGCAGGAGGGGCAGACTTGCTACGATGGTGCTCGCCGCTCTTGTCGCGCAGGCTAAGGAACTTCCTGGGAAATTCCTTCATGATTGACCGCTATGACGGGCTTTGTCTCGAGGAAGTGGAGGAGGTGGAAAACAGACTCTCGCGGCGTGGAGCGAGAGAAGAGGCGTACGGTACGCCCCCATCATAGGGCGAGACGACTCTCGACGCGGCGCTGGTGGAGCTGAATCGGCACAATATGTTTGCTGCAATTAATTTTATCTTATCGTATATATATGCCCTTCTCTTTTCTCTCGTCCTTTTGTTGGCGTAAGGCTTAATTCGAGGTATCGGCTACTTGTCTGGCGAAATTTGAAACGGCCGGTATAGCTCGAGAGGAAATGCTGCGCCGCAGGCGTCGGTGCGTCGCCGAGAACAGGGCGCGGCTGGATAGAGGAGAAAGTAAAGGCGAAGAGGCGCTTCGAGAACTGAGCTTCGCAAAGGGCGCAGCCGGACGGGGTGACGAGGTGGCAGGAAGGAGATGTTGTGTCGCGCAACTAATGGACCCTCGAGCGGTTCCAGGTTCAAATAAGAACATGAAGCGAGTGCTAAAGCTAGTGCTTCGTGTTGGCCTGATGTTACAGTGGCGGGGGCGGGACATTCGGGTGGATCATATGCTGCCAGGGCCCTGTAGTGGGCTGTAGGGGCGATAGCAGCGACTAGACAGCGCTATAGCGCGGCATGATACTGCGCTGAGGTGGCACCTTGCGACATGCCATCGATCCTGTCGCGGTGCCATTGAGAGATTTACATGAGATCGCAGCGGCTGACGGCGTTTTGTTGAGGCTGGTACCCATCGCATCGCAGCTGGATCCGCAGGGACCCTTTGGCGCTTCCAGCTCCCATCGCCAATCAACTGCGCCCTGCACTATACGGCGGGCAACACCATCGGGCTTCGCCTCAGAGCCGGGCCCGTGAATGCGGCTGCCTTGACTTTGCGTTCGGAATCCCACAGAGGCCCAAGCTGTTGTTTACTCTGTGCTATGTAGCTAGTATACAGTCCCTGCGCGGTGCTAAGGCGGCCTTTTACTAACCTGCAGTTCTCGTGCCTCGCAAACCTGACTTTTTCCCTGCGGCCTCGTGGCCTACGTACGAATGCCCTACGTAATTCTATGGCGACTACCCAAGGCAGGCGATTTCTGGCCCCTTCGACAGCGTTTTTCGAACATCTAAGCGGCTTGCTAATCTCCACTCCTCGCAGTCATGTTACCGACATAGAGTCAAGACAAACCTCTCTCCAGTCCTGGGCGGAACTGGCGGGGAACGTGACAGACGAGGACCCGAGCTTACGGGTCACATAGATGCTAAGACATTCTCTATAGTATTATTTACTAACAATGAGAGCGGATCTTTTTGCTACTCTAGTCGAGCTACCCTCGTCACGAGCCTTTTCCGGATTCACTGAGCTCTGGGACGAGATTGGCAAAATGCAAACAACGTCATTTCATCCAAGCTACTCAATAACAGGCGTTAAGCCCCCCAAGAGGCGTGCCGAATGAAGGAACATTGAATGCTTTCGTACGAAGTTATCTTGAAGTAGCATCTGGTAGCTGCCATTTTCAACTACCGAGCAGCCGCAGCGTCTATTGTTGTGCTTAAATTAGCATCAGCGGCTTTTCTTATCCCTATGGCGTGACGAAAAGGCGTCGGATCTGCAAAAATAAAGTAGGTACCTAAAGTGAGGTAAGGTGGCTTAGGCTGAATAGGATCTAAAGGGGGCCACTGAAATGCCTAGATGGAATCATGCATACGTCTTGGGCAAGTCCCATAGTTCACGATCTGCCAGGTTTTCATTCATCATGGATTTTATACTCTGACGCAAGTTGTAGATAATCTTAGTTAGAGAGAGCATTCATAGGATAGAAAACGAGCTGCAATGGCGACTTACACGCCGGCACCCTTGGCAGTTTCATACAGTGCTATATTTTTCAACGCATAGCTTTTGGCAAGACAAGAGCTCAGGTCTATTCTTGAGAACAACCACCTATAGTAGCTGAAAATTGACAAAATTGATCAATTTTCAAATGTTCTTGGCCAAATCTGTAGCCTCTCCTCTGTGAAACGGCCTGTCCATCGGACCCGAGGGCTCGTTCAGTTCGGAGTACGGGCCGAGGTGCATCTGCACCGCCACACGTTTTCCGGTCGCAATGTGGCGCCAACCCTGGCCGGGATTAGCCTGTGGCTAGTGCCTTAGCAGAGGTTAGCAATTGGAAAATTCCCGTTGTCTCGAAGTAAAGTGGTGGGGAGATCGAGAAACTTCCTACGACGAGGCATTGAGGCCTTTTGCTTTGGGCTTGACAATGGCGGCTTCCCGAGAAGGCGTTCGCCTGGCAAAATCCTTGAGGCAAAAATTGCCAATTCATCAGTCCGCTCCGCTATGCGCAAGAGGGTTTGCCTCGACCAGAGCGGCACAGAATGCGACCGTGAAGCCGGACAGCATCGCCGATATCGAGTCAACCTCTTCATTTTCGACACCGCAGCCTAGTAAAGATGTCCTTAAAGCTTTCGAAGAGTCCCAGCAACAAGGCCAAACAGAACGAAGGCTCCCTGGTAACCGGTACGTTGCTGCCTTTTGCAGACGCATTCTGCAAAAGCTTCGCTAATAGTAAGAATCCTAGATACCAATATCATCCTCCCAAATACAACCGAGGCCCTCTGCACCCAGTCCAGGCACCACCCTCGTCCGAACCGACTGCTCGTGACTTCGTTCCTGGACCGTTCAGCTTCCCTCGCTTGAAGCACACATATGACAGCACCATTGCGCCTGACCTCATGACCCTCACATACAACCATACCCCTCCTGGGACAGTACCAGTCGAATCGCAAAAGGGAAATTTGCGCCAATGGGACGGATCTTCTCCATACCACAAGAACCGACCGAGCAGAGGACCAAGAGGTGGAGGCTCGTCAAGACTGGGAATATTAGAGCGAGACATCTCCTGGCATAACATTCCTGAGATCGAGGCTGTCACCATCAACTCCTATGCTCCTCTGGCCGCCGACAACAAGGAGTATCTTCATGTGGCTCGAGCCGTTGTCCAGGCTATCAGCGGCCAGTTTCCCGATGTCACGACCGTGAAGCACAACGTCATCCACTGGGGCGTCCGAAAGGGATCAAAGGCGGGTGCCAAGACCACCCTGCGCGGCGCTGCGGCATACGACTTTGTCGATAAGCTGGTGACGTTGGTTCTGCCCAAGATCAAGGATTGGCCCGGTATCAAGGCATCCAGCGGCGACGATGCGGGCAACATTGCTTTTGGCATGAGCCCTGCCTGGATGTCGTACTTTCCCGAGATTGAGTTCAACTACGATGTAAGTGGTTTCCCGAGATTGAGTTCCGGTGTAATTTTTGTTTACGAGTAGCTGTCATAACTAACGTTTAATAACAGATGTATCCTCCTAAGCTGATGCCTGGTTGCGATATCTTCATTCACACCACTGCTACCTCCGATAGGCAAGGCAGGCTGCTCATGGAAGCATTGGGATTCCCTTTCTACGGAAAGGTTACGCATTGATGAACATCACGTCGGCGATTTGGGAGCATGGGGTGCAATAAAATTTGCGGGGCAATATATAAAATGTATAACAACGTGTATCGTAAAAGCCATGATCGTTAGACACAATGTATGAATATTGTAGGATACCTCTGTTCATCAATCTCTGCCGGTTGATCCATCCAATACTTGCTGAACGCCTCAACTCCGCCCAAATGTCCGTTTTTCTTCTCATTTTCCTGTAAAATTTATTCAAAACACTTTTCATGATTTTTACGCCGAAGCCCCATTGGCGGCAGCCTTGACCTTTTCCCTAAGTCCATGGATGACAACATCAACGGCTGCCATATCAGCAGCGTCTGTCTTGGCTGCAGTAAACCCTCGCTTATTCAATTCGTCCGCGCAGTGATCCATAGAAGGCTGGTAATTTCTAATCGCAGAGCTCAGCGCATAGATTGCCTTGCGCCTGACGTCTTCGGCCTCATCCTCCTTCAGCGCCATCTCAATCAGAGGAGTGACGCCGCCAATCGCCAGCAGGCGCTCTTGGGTGCGCTCGTTGTTCTGAACAGCGGTGCCGACGCACCAGGCCGCCATCTTGCGCAGCTCGCTCTCCTTGCTGCCCAGGTGCTCGAGCAGCGGGGTCCACAGGTTGAGGTTGGCAATGTTGTTGGCGTTGTCGAGGTTCTCAATGAGCTGCTCAAAGTTGTCGAAGGCGATGAGCTTGTTCTCCAGGGTAACCTCGGGGTCGCCGATGATCTCCATGGAGCCCTTCATGAGGTCGGCATCGGAGGGTCCTCCCATGAGCGCGGCCATGAGCTCCGGGGTGAGGTTTGTTGGCGGCGGTACTTGGGCATTGGTTTCAGTGGAGGGGTCATTTTCGCCGGTGGTGGTGTTCTCGACGCTCCATCGCAGGAGGTCGTTGAGTCGCTTGTCGCCCATGGTAAATTATGTGGCGGTTTAGCGAGAATATGTGTGGATATCTCTGTAATATGAAGAGGATGAAAGGATCAAGATATGGAGCAGCAATCTGAAATTGAAGATGTTCGCCAAATCTCAAGTTTTCCGCTTGTGGCATTCATGCGGCTTCTGGAAACTTCAAGAAGGCTTTAGTCTGCAAAGGGACTAGTGCCACAGAACTCCCTTCCAGCCTTACCAGGGTTTAATTCTAGTCGAATCCAGGGCTTTATCATCAGCTTCATTAATTAAACTGGTTATGAATCAAATTTCCAAGAGAGAGAATCTGAAAGGCTATCATTCTGAGAGGAAGTCTCCTAAAAGACTCTCGATTTTCCTTTGAGTTTTCGATAATTGTTTTGACGCCTGGCATTTTTCAGGACCAAATCCAAGAAACGGGTATCAAAATGTCAACCCCACTTGTTCATCTCAGAACCCAGACGATGGCTTTGCACCCCGAGCTCCGTACGAGTACGACCTGTAGCCGGGCTGTCATGATATGCTGCTTACTTAACTGATACTTAAGTTAGAGAAAGGTTATTTGGCACCCCAATTCTGTTATACAGCACTCCAGCTATAGCGTGGGCTACTACTACTGCTACTGGTGCCGCTAATGCTACTTTAAAATGCATTTGGCAGTTGTGTATTTTAATACATAGCCTGGCTGACATGATGAGCTACAGCTGGGGTGCTGTATAACTTTCCCTCGATTTAGACTGAAGTTTGTACTACTGTTGGAGTCCAGCTGGTTCTCCTGCATACAGCCCTTCTTCTTGGCGTCAAGTGGTGGGATCTTACAAATGACGTAACGCAGCGTAAAGTCCAACAAAGAGCTCCGTAGGCTGAAGGGAAATGGGACGATTCTGCTAGATACTGACAGTAATGCTGTGATGCATAAGTCATTGGTAAGTAGGTATGCTTCCGAGTATCCAGGCAGATGGAAATAGAAACATTCAGCCTTGGAGGATGGTGTAGCCTTAGTCCAGAAGCCACGCGTTGTCTGGAAGCTAAGACGGTCTCACAGCTGTCACAGTGTCGCCTCGTCTCGCTTCGCTCGCCCTGCATTCTGGACCAAGCCGTCTGCAGCGCTACGCGCCATGCAGCTTTGGATCTCCCGGGAGATCTTGATCCAGCATCAGACTAGGACTTTGCACGCCCTCTATAAGTAGAATAGTAGAGCTAACGGCTTTACCACCTATGTGATACCCTACACAGTTTATATCAAAGAAAGAAGACTTATCCACATGCCTCACGTGATGGTCCGAGTAGAGTCGAATTCTTTGAACAGCTGGAACAAGGCCAGAAGGCTTAGGGCGGCACTGGCTTTAACCGCAACTGGATCGATGTGTTGGCGCGGCCGAATGAGCTTGGCTGGGGAAATTTGATAGCGAAAAGGGGGCTAAGAACCGTCATCAGCTTCTTTTGGTGCGCCTCTGCGCCTCTGCTTACTGGTGCATGCTCAGCGACTGGCGTATTACGCATTCGATGCGCGGATAAATCTGGGGATTTGGAATGCAAGATGCCTAACTCAGAGATTCACTGGAATACTGCTGCCTTTGAGCGTGTGTGAGATGCTGTAATCTCTCTGCCTAGCAGCAATAAGCTTGATTCAGGCTTGGAATCAGGCTTGGAATCAGGCTTGGAATCTCGTTGCAGGGGCATGCGTAGAGCACAGGCAATTTGACAGTTTGTCAGGAGAGGGAGGCTCTTGATGCAGAGAAGATCAGGGAGCCTTGAAGAAAGAGCACTACCTGTTTTCTATCTTTCCAGGCAGTTGGTACGACGCGGTAGTCAGCAGCAAAAGTCCGCAGTTGCTACCAGCCACACATTGTACCCCCTTAATAATGCGGCTGTCATCGAGCTTAGGAGAAGGAGGGGCTATCAACTGGGAGAGCTTCACAAAAGTGCCCCTCTCTACGCATCATCGCATGCTGGCTCATCCGTCGGCCTGGGAAGATCTGTTTACACTCCGTAATACCGCTGAAACCGAGTGTGTTATCCAGGGAGGACAGTTGTGAGGACAAGGCAGCCGTTTTTTGCCATCGAATGGATGCCTCAGCCTTGGCGGGTTGCGTACTGGGACGCGTACGATGAGACATCCGATTGCGCTGAGAATCTGGCTGCCTCGACTAGTAATCCGTTGCCTCTGGCTCTCCCGGTGATTGCAATCAGGCGGCCAATTTATGTATTCTCGAGCTCGTAGGACGCACTGCTCCAGCGATGGACGTGAGCATGGCCTCGTACCGTGCGGATGGAGCTTTCTTGCAAGGTGACGATAGCGTTGATCTCAGCCCCTCTCCTCCCCCACTGATAGATGCCTTGCTATAGCGACCTAAGGGGACCCAAGGAGAAAGCCGAGACCTAAACGAGACCTAAAGGAGCACAATAGCAGGAGAGCGCTGAACAGCCACCGCCATGAGCCAATCATTAAAGCGGCAGGCAGCGCTGCATGGTTGGCGGGCGCGCGCGGTACTCCATGGGCGGCGACCAGGTACCTCGCACAAAGCACGCCGCCGCAGCGGTACCCAAGCCCGACCGCCGAGGTACTTTGCGCTAAGGCGGTCTCGCCCTGGTTCGCCGCCTCCCACACGCGGGCCCCACCAGGCCTTTGTCCCGCCCACAACTCTGTGCCCATCGTGGCAGCGGAGATACATACTTCCCTCCTTTCCTCCCCCTCCACTCTTTCTACTTCTTCTACAGCACCCCCCAATCGACAGCTTTCGACCTGCGTGTCACCTTAATATTTCCTCACTTCGTCCTCTGTTCTCATAGCTCTCGAGACCCTGCGATCGCGCGAGCTTTCTTCGTCTCTCTTCGGTTTCTTCATTCACCTTTTCACAGTTTTCATCCTTTAATCAGTCACAATGGAAGGTACGTCGACCTTGCCACGCAACACCGCGTCCAGCCTCCTGATGCCGAGGCCAATCGAGCAATCGTCGTCGTGATGCCTCGCCGTGAATATCAGGATATTGGCTAACATATGGATTTCCCGCACTGCAGAAGAAGTTGCTGCCCTCGTTATCGACAATGGGTAAGCTTCCCCGCCATTGTCTCACCGACATCATATCCTCCTTGTCCCTCCTGTTCTGCGGGCTCAGGAGGCACGGTCACGGCCTGCCAGCCACGCCACGCAGGAGGAACGACAAATTGCATCTGCAACTGCATCATACAGCAGTGATTTCGCTTCTTTTGAATTTGAAAAGCTGACAACAATGCAGTTCCGGTATGTGCAAGGCCGGTTTCGCCGGTGATGACGCTCCCCGAGCTGTTTTCCGTGAGTACCCCACTTCTGCTCCCTTTCCCACGCAACTGCCCGCCAGAGCTATACGTTTTGGGGCTATTGGGCATTTGCGCGCCGCCACCGCACGCTTTGCTTGACATTTTGCTAACGCCGCCAAATAGCCTCCATTGTCGGTAGACCCCGTCACCATGGGTAAGTTGCAATAATCAACACTCACGTGCGACCGCCGTCAATTTTGGTGGTCGCGTTTTGAGCAGCATGGATCTGACCGAACCTCCTCCAGTATCATGATTGGTATGGGTCAGAAGGACTCCTACGTCGGTGATGAGGCTCAGTCTAAGCGTGGTATCCTGACCCTGAGATACCCCATCGAGCACGGTGTTGTCACCAACTGGGACGACATGGAGAAGATCTGGCACCACACCTTCTACAATGAGCTGCGTGTTGCCCCCGAGGAGCACCCCGTCCTGCTCACCGAGGCCCCCATCAACCCCAAGTCCAACCGTGAGAAGATGACCCAGATCGTCTTCGAGACCTTCAACGCTCCCGCCTTCTACGTCTCTATCCAGGCCGTTCTGTCCCTGTACGCTTCCGGTCGTACCACCGGTATCGTTCTCGACTCCGGTGATGGTGTTACCCACGTTGTCCCCATCTACGAGGGTTTCGCTCTGCCTCACGCCATTGCTCGTGTTGACATGGCTGGTCGTGATCTTACCGACTACCTGATGAAGATCCTGGCTGAGCGTGGTTACACTTTCTCCACCACCGCCGAGCGAGAAATCGTTCGTGATATCAAGGAGAAGCTCTGCTACGTCGCCCTCGACTTCGAGCAGGAGATCCAGACCGCTGCTCAGAGCTCCAGCTTGGAGAAGTCCTACGAGCTTCCCGACGGTCAGGTCATCACCATCGGCAACGAGCGATTCCGTGCTCCTGAGGCTCTGTTCCAGCCTTCTGTTCTTGGTCTTGAGAGCGGTGGTATCCACGTCACCACTTTCAACTCCATCATGAAGTGCGACGTCGACGTCCGAAAGGATCTCTACGGCAACATTGTCATGGTAAGTGATTTTCGCGTGAGACAAATTGGTTGAATAGCAGCGCTAATCATGCATTTCTCAATCTAGTCTGGTGGTACCACCATGTACCCCGGTCTCTCCGACCGTATGCAGAAGGAGATCACTGCTCTTGCTCCTTCTTCCATGAAGGTCAAGATCATTGCTCCTCCCGAGCGAAAGTACTCCGTCTGGATCGGTGGTTCCATTCTGGCTTCCCTGTCAACCTTCCAGCAGATGTGGATCTCCAAGCAGGAGTACGACGAGAGCGGTCCGTCCATTGTCCACCGCAAGTGCTTCTAAGGTACGTGACTTGAACAAAGAAACCGGTGTTTGTTACAGATTGCTAACTGCCGTTCAGAAGCTACGCGAGGTCAAAGACAAAACCTCACATCCTTCGCCAATCACTCATGCCAAGCTCATGGAGTCGACAAATCATGCAGTGTCTCCATGGGCTCGCATGTATTGCGATCGAGTCTCATATTTACGAAAAGTTTTTGACAGGGTCAAGGAGATGGGCGTTGGCTTTTCTCTGATGAGGATACAACGGCTTGTGTATGGCAGCTGGGCTGGATGCGTAACGCGGGTCTAGGGGCTAGAAGCTTAGGTTGATACAAATATTTATTTGCTTTCCGGTCTTAGAGAGAAACATGTTGAATGGAATTCGTGATAATAACAGTATCTTTAACGCATGATGCACCCTGATTGTACAGCCCTATCCGGCAAATTGTCTCTAAGGCATTGATTGATCTCTTTATAGGGACTCTGGCAAGCAGTTTTATTGTGAATGCCTATGTTGGGAATCCTGCCCTGGTTGGATGTTATTGGTGGCAGTGGTACTACTGCTGGGACTATTACTTGTCTCTTTACCCGTGTCACTAGTTTGTTTAACAATCTCGTCCGGACTATCTTCGAGGGTGGCGGCGACTTCGGCGTCGGCCTCTTCCTCTCCCTCTTCCAGTTGCCTGTACTTTCGCCGACTCTTCTTGGCCGCGCTATCTGCTTTCTTCTTCTTTAAAGCTCCGACTATGGCTGAGCGGCTCTGGTCGCCATTGACGAATTCATCCACCTTCTGCGCCAATATCTCTCGAGCTTGTTTGCGGTTCTGGCTGCGTGATCGAGTGGCTTGGGACTTTACGACGATGCCGGTGGGGATGTGCTTGAGTTGGACTGCGGAATTGGTTTTATTCTAGCAAAGGGACCCGTGTAAATATCGCTTCTCCTTGTAAAGAAGCTTTTCCTCAGATTTTTGGAGCTGAAGAATGCTCTGTATATCTGTACGTACAATCTTTTGGCCGCCGGGGCCGCTGCCTTTGAGGTATGATTCTTCGATTTCGGAATCCGGGGGAGGTTTTGGACGGGGCGGGAGGGTTTTCAAGAGAATGGCGCCAAGGGTGCTGAAGGATTGAAGGCTCGGGATGGCTCTGGCCGATTGTGCGATGGGAAAGGTTCTCACGAAGAAACTAATGGGGCGTGACATGGTCATTTGGTCAACGAAGAGCTCTGCAAAGCATAGGTAGAGGATTTGAGTTGAGTTATGAAGCTGCGGATCATAATCCTGTTGCAACAAGATTAGCCCATAATGGCGCCCAGCACAGGCGGGCTATCCGTAGTGGGCTTAGGGAACATCCGCCAGTGGCTACCGGAGAAGCACCGCTAACCGGGCGGGCGCTACAAGGTTGGGCAAGGGGACCGGAAACACTGCATAGCGACATCCCATTTACGATTTCCGGAGTCCGCCTCTTTTCTTCTTCTTCCTTTTCTCCTTCTTCTCATCTGCACCAGCGAAACCGAGAACCAGCATTCAAACACTATCGAACCCAATCTTCCACAGACACGACGAGAAGGAAGAATCAATCGAGATAAAGAGACGACTCGTACCGCTCTGCGACGCAATCACATTCGGAAACATTTAAATCATCCAAGAAAATTAGTTATCGTTCAAAATGGCGTCCCTTGTGAAGCTGATGGAAAAGAAGATGCTTCAATTCGACGTGACATTTGCAACGTATATGTTTACGCCGATGGAGAAGTTCTTTTTCTGTAAGTCTTTGTCCTTCCTGTTCTTCGCCTACTTATCCGGCGTTCCCTTTTTCTAACCCCCCCCC